GGGGGGGGGGGGGGTTGTCTGAAAGTCTTAGGCCAAGGGGAGGAGGATTATACAATTTAGGGGGGCACACATTAGATGAAGGCTGCTGATTAGTTCACTTAAATAGGATCAAGCGGCTCAGATCAATCCAGTAGTTACAAATTAATTGGATACAGGTCTTTACTCAGCTGCCAGTCAATTCAGTTAGAATCAGGTAGAATAAGGAGCTTAGAAAGTTAAAGCTTAGTTTCAATTGTACCCTAGTTGTAACTCAAATCAAATTGATAAAATTCTCTACTTTCCGTTTTATATTTTCTTCTCAATTCTGATTACTGTCCCTAGTATATTACAAAATGGACAAACCTGAAAACAAGGAAAAATGTATTTTGAATCATTACTGTGCAGAGAAAAAAACAACGCTAAGGCTACAAACAGAACCAATTTCCCTTTCTCCCCAATAATTTTAATTTCCAATAACAGTATTTATCCAAATCAGCTTCGACACCTCAACTAATCATACATAACCTACTAAAATAGCACATAGAAAATCTAAGCATTAAAAATCAGGAATAATAAAACATAAAAAGAGTTAGTTACCTTGACAGTGATTCTGCGGTCACTTTGAGCTCTCTTGAACTGCTTAACTCTCTTCTTCACTATCTTCTTGTTCAACAGTGGCACCGCCATTTTTTCCCTCTTACCTTCTAATAAATTAACTCATAATATTAGATAAATTCATTAGGAGAAAAGCAGAGATGATAACAAAGGAGAATTAGAGACTCACAAACTAGGGTTTCGGCTAAGCAGCTGCGCCTTCGTTGTAATAGTAATGCAGTACGAGTGTTATATACCCGATTGGAATTTCAAAGAGATCTAGTGAAAATAATGGGCTAATAGGCCCATTACTAGAGCCCGAGACTTGGGGCACTGTGAGAGGCAAGTAGAAGTGACACCATTCTAGAGGGCTGATATTTAAAAATTAGTCGGTATGTCCTGAATTTCAGTTTTTCGGACACAAAATTTTGAAGTTAAGATTCTTAGTTTAAATTTGTATTGGCTAATCCCTAAATAGCAGTCATAAAAATGAATATATGTGTACTTGCCGCCCACGTAATCTCTTAAATTAAAATAACCGGCGTATGTATAATATACATGTAATATATATCTATAATTTGTGAGGGTTGAACCAGATTTTATTTATTTTTATTTTTTGATCTCATGGAAATTTCCTTATTCTACGTTACATTTGATAGACAATATTTCCTTTATTACTCATTTGTTATACTAACATTTATTCCACCCGTTTTATTCATGTGAACTTATCCCGACTGGATACGAAATCTTGAAAAGCAATAAAATATGTTAAATATATCATAACAATTGTGTGATTATAGATTTTTGAAACTTGTGGTATTAAATATGTCATTATATTTATGTGCCTATAAAAGTTTCTTTGGCGACATTTGATTAAAAAAATTAATGAAAGGCAGAGTATTAGATAAAGTAGGTACAAAATCTTGGAGATCAGAATTCACATTTCAATCGAAACAAAAAAACAATGTGATTTTTTTTCCATCTAAACTACTACCGTTATCCAAAAATAATGTAGGTGAAAAAAAATCTGAATTTATTATTAGATAAAATTCAAATATTGAAATAGGCATAAGCTTCACGTTTAGAGTCTATAGAAAGATAGAAATCATATTGTTTACCCTAAAATTCGAGTAACAATTAAACTTATATTGTGGTTTTAAGGATATATGATTTAATCCAATAGCAATTGATAAATAAGGAATTAAGTATATAAATTGAAGAATAAAATAAATCAAACCAGTGCGCAAGCCAAATCTCGACCTCGAGCTATGACAACCTCGAGATGGAATAGTGAGAATAGCAAGTTACAAAGCAACTCTGATGAAAAGTGAATAAAATAGCTAGAGAATAAAGTATATGTATTATCTTATCAGTCAAAACGTATCTGACAAATGAATGAACTTCCCTTTATATAATAGAGGAGTTCTAAATAAGGTACATTTCTAATTACAGCAAGAAATCATATTTGACAGTTGTTTAACTGTCAAGGGTCAATCCATTTTGCAATTTACACCGTGATTTTCGGGCCGTTGCGAATATCTAGCTCTTTCTATTACTGAACCATAACGATATTATCTTAAGGTATGCCTTCTTCCGACCTCGACAAATGATTTCAACCTCGACCTCGGTATTGGAAAGGAACCTTGACCCCGAACTCGGCGTCCTGGCCACTCTACGTGGTATCACCTTTTCCATCCAAGAACGAAATCGGGTAGCCACCGTATATACATATTTCAAAGTTCAAACAACGTCCGATATTTGCAAATGCAGCCCGTGACTAATGTACAGTGCTAAAGTTCTTGTACTTAAGTATGAGTTATGCCCAAATGATCCTGAAATATCTGCACATCATCAGCATCCCTTGACTGCACCTGTACATCAATCAATCATGGTAGTACCACTAATGTAGTTTTGTTTCTTTATGGGAATCTATGCAAAGCAAACAGTCTCTAAGAGAGTGCAAAATTCAAAAGGTTCCCCCCCCCCCCTCTCCTTCTCTGCCCCTATAAAAATAGGGCCTATAAAGCATCTCCTCATTTCCAGTTCTACTTATTCAGCTCGAACTGCGGGATATAATGAATAGGATGGGAAAGGGAAAAGGAAAAGGAAAGGGAAAGGGAAAAGGAAGAAGAAAAAACAAGAGTCGGGGGATGGAGAAAAACCCACGGTGGTTGGAGCTGCCGGAAGGAATATGGGCGAACATATTACATAGGCTGGGTGCGGTGGAGATATTGGACAGTGCACAGAAAGTGTGTACTACGTGGAGGCGCGTGTGCAAGGACCCGTCCATGTGGCGAGTCATTGACATGTGGAATTATGGTGACCCTTATATCGAGCCTTATGACTTGGAGGAATGTGTAACCACGCCATTGATCGTAGCCAAGGTGAACTAATTGATATCAATCTGGAGTACTTTGCCTCTGATGAGTTGCTTGTTTACATAGTGGAGAGGTAATTTCTGGCTTCACCTCATTGCTAATTTGCCACTAAATGACCAACCCATTTTTAACCCGCCCAAATCCGATCCAATCCCCTCATTTGCCAACACTACTTAGAATCATGCTTGTTACGGAAATCCAACAGCAATTCATGCTTAATTTTCCAAGATTCTTGATAAATTCAATGTTGATATTAGTCAAAAAGAGCTAAACAGAGCATGTATTCCAGGTCTTTTGATCCAATGCTTGTCATTTCACACAATTGAATATCCCATTAAACTTTAAATATAATATACAAGAGGAATACAAATCTATTTTCCTCTCTTTGAATGTTAGTGTTGCTCCAGGGGTTAGGTTAACTGAGCATGGATTCTGCAGTTTTATGGGTCCATATATACTTTTTCTTGCAATTTTAGTGAATTTTTATACTTAAATTTATTAAGAGCAGTCCGACGAAATTTTGTGGCCTAAATCCAAATTTTACGAAGGGCCTTAACTTTTTTTTTAAAAAAAAATTATTATTTATTTGAAGTCTATTTTTTTTTTTAGCTTTTCTAAGATACAAAGTTATTAATAATTTTCTTATAATCAATAACTCTTAATAAGTATTCTCAATTGACGATATAGTTAATCCATTTAACCTTTCTTGTGACATTGTTGATCGTAGGTACGATTTTATCAATTTTAATTTTGAAAACTTCTTTCTACTAAAACAACAGTAACATGAGTTATTAACATTATTTTATAAGCAATTTAGGCATTTGAAAAAGAATTAAATCTTTTTATTTGACTAAGTGTATCAATTACACTGCTATCTTCTAATTGTACTATTTTTCTTAATACTTTTAATTCAGAAAAAAATCTAAACTATCAATATCGAATTGATTATTATGCTTTAAGGAATATTCAAGATAAATGCAATATTTTTTCAAATTTCCAACGTCCAGTAATCTTAGTTTTTACAGCCAAATAGAAAACCAAAAATATATTCATATACTCTGAATTGTTCAAATCTTTTTTGAAGTTGAAAAAATAGCCTTGTCTATTATGTATGAAAGTAATCAACTCTTCGAAAGATTTTGAGATTTCATTATCAACATTCGCATCAAATTGTTGCTTCCTATATATCACACGTTTCTTACGAAATTCGGGTTCGATATTTATTTCAAGTGCAATTTCCTTGGTAGAAATCATAGCATTTGCATATCCTTCTTCTCTATATTTGTTATAAAGAAAGAAATCAAACTTTTTCACTTTACGTAACTTTTTTTTAAATTTATACATAATTTATTAGGTGTAACAAAAATGGGGCCGCCCATAAATATAGGGCCTAAAGCGGTTGGTTTTCTTGCTTTATGGAAGGGCCGCTTCTGAAATTTATACGTCGCATCGTAGTGTAGGAAATAAGAGCAAAAATTTTAATACTAACACTGTTTCATTATTTTTTGTTAGCGAATACACGGGTTGACTTGAGTCGTGCTAGGCACTGTCCTAAGAAACTATTTCAGCAGTATGAAATGTCTCCCCAGGATTAAACAAGTCTACCTTTATTTGAGAGGATACAAGAATCAACAAAATTAAATTACAAACTGTTTGAGTCAAAAGATATTGAAACCTTTTTGAACAAATCAATTAAAGATAAAGGGGTAAATCTTAGCTAAGAATAATAATCTCTAGAAAGGATAATAGATAAAGAGAAGACGGATCACAAGACTTCTTTTATGATATACTTTTCTCCCAAACTTTTAGAAATCTTTTCATTCATAAATAGTAATGTAGCCAATATTCGGAATGCCCCTTTACAAGGTTATTGTCCTCTATATATATGAAGAGCGAGGCTCTTCTAAGCAGTAATATTCCTAATGGGCCTACATTATTACAAGGGTCGTCCAGTCTCTTGTTTGTCTTAAGGTCGTCTCCCTTAGGACATCGATTCAAGGAAACCCTGTCAATCGTCGTGCTCGTCGTCAGTCGTGGTTGGTCAAATTTGGACCCATACACAAACCCAGCTATTTGACAGAGGGGAACAAGAGAAATTAAACTACTAAAAAGAAAGACAACAAAATGGAAGCCGGTGAATAATGAAATTAGAAGGAAAGAAGAAGAAAGATTTCTTTGTCTTGCTAATTGCTAACAATAAAAAAAGAGTGATTGGTAGTGGCTATTTATAGCCTCATTTGCATGAAGCTTTGTTGTGCATGGCAAGAAAGTGGCTGATGGATTTTGCCACTTTACCAAGGCATTTTGCCATCTTTCTAATGGCTTCTAGAAGGGACGACACTTGGTTTTGATTATGACATTTGTCAACAAAAGCTTTAAATATATTGTCACCGAAAGTACTTGATTCAGATAAACCTGGTCCTTTCAAGTTGTATCCGTCCTTGTGTATATAGTTAATTGAATTTGAGCCTTTGAAAGTTGTCAAAAAATCGCATAGAATTATGTATATTAGTGGAATAGTGTCAACCATTAAAAAAAAGTGCAAGATGAATTGAAACGGATGAAGTAATACAAAAGCAAGTGTTGTTTATCCTATTCTTTACTATATATGCTACTAATCTGTTAATTTAGTTTGATAATTCTGCTTTGTTCACTAGACAACCCATTGATTAATTTCTGTTATTTGTTCAATAGATGGTCAAAACTGAAAATACTTAGTATTGCATGTTGCTACCGTCGGGTATGTAAAGGCTTGTTTGAAGTAGCTCAAAAGCTACCATTATTAGAAGAGCTGAGTCTCACACACTACTATCACATCAAGTGTCATTGAAGTTCTTGGTCACTCTTGCCCAAAGTTGACGTCTTTTGAATTGAATAAGACGTTCAATTTTGATGAAGAGACTTTAGCTA